AGGGTTGTCCCAAACTTTAAGAAGGGGAGGAAGGAGGTTCTGGGGAACTATAGATCAGTCAGCCTTACCTCTATCCCAGGGAAAATCCTAGAAAAAATTATCAAGGAACACATCTGTGGGAGTCCGCTTGCTAATGTTATATAGAGGGGTAACCAACATGGGTTTATAGCAGGCAGGTCCTGCCTGACTAACCTAGTTTCTTTTTATGACAAGGCCACCAAATGTTTGGATGCAGGAGTTTAGGTGGACTTCAAGAAGGCCTTTGACATGGTATCCCATACCATCCTTATTAATAAACTGAGGAGATTTGCCTTGGATGATTATACAGTAAAATGGGTAGCAAACTGGCTCAGGGGTCACACTCAGAGGGTGATGGTGGATGGGTCAGTGTCAACCTGGAAAGATGTGTGCAGTGGAGTCCCTCGGGGCTCAGTTCTGGGGCTGGTGCTGTTCAGCCTCTTCATCAGTGATCTGGACGAGGGGGTGGGAAGCACCCTGGCCAAATTTGTGGATGACACAAAAATATGGGGTGAAGCTAACACCCTAGAGAGGAGGAACCAGATCCAGGCTGACCTCAACAATTTGGGGAAGTGGGCAGAGAGCAACAGGATGCAATTCAGTAAGGACAAGTGCAAGGTGCTGCATCTAGGGAGAAAAAACTGCCATCATACCTATAGGCTGGGGGGCGACCTTCTTGGCACCACTGAGGCAGAAAGAGATCTTGGAGTCACTGTTGACTCCAGGATGAACATGAGTCTTCAGTTTGATGAAGTAGTCGGCAGAGCCAATCGCACCTTGTCGTGCATCCGTAGGTGTTTCACAAACAAGCCCATGGAAGTGATTCTCCCTCTCTACGCAGCACTGGTCAGGCCACAGATGGAGTACTTTGTCCAGTTCTGGATGTTGCAGTTCAAGCGGGATGCGGACAGCCTGGAGAGTGCCCAAAGAAGAGCCACTCATCTGATTGGAGGCGAGCAGGGAAGGCCCTACGAGCAAATGCTAAGGGACCTTAACCTCTTCAGCCTCTCCAGAGAAGGCTGAGAGGAGACCTTGTGGCAGCGTACAAATTCATAAGGGGAGAGCAACACGAAGTAGGCAATGATCTGTTTACCGGGAAACCCCTGGAACAACAAGGAACAATGGCCACAAGCTATTGGAGAGTAGGTTTAGACTGGACTTTAGAAAAAAGTTCTTCATGGTCAGGGTTGCCAGGATCTGAAACACGTTTCCAAGGGAGGTGGTGCTCACCCCATCCTTGGGAGTCTTCAAGAGGAGACTGGACAGGCACCTGGCTGGGGTCATATGATCCCAGGTTTGGTTACCCTTTTCTTGCCTGCCAGGGGCAGGGGGTTGGACTAGATGGCCCACGGAGGTCCCTTCTGACCTTAGAATCTATGAATCTATGAGTCAGTTACAGACCTCCTAACCAAGAGGAAGAGCTTGACCATGAATTTGCTAGGGAGCTGGCAGAGGCTGTATGCTTTCAGTGCATGGTTGTCATGGGTGACTGCAACCACCCTGACATCTCATGGGAAGCACATTCAGCCAAATCTGATCGGTCACAAAGCTTCCTCACTTGCACTGATGAGTTCTGTTTGACTCAAGAAGTCTACAGGCTGACAAGAGGCACTGCTGGACCTGGTACTGGCCAAAGGGGATGATCTAGTTAGTGATCTAAGAATCAAAGGGAAGCTTGGTGATAGTGATCATGAGTTGATCATTTTCTTTGTGAATTGCAAAGCTTGGCAAATCAGTCAGCAATGCAGAAATCCTTGACTTCAGGAAAGGGCTGGGAGACCCCCTTGGCTCAATAGGGAACTCATGGACCTCCTGAATATGAAAAGAGAAGCTTATAAGGGATGGAAGTCAGGAATTACCACTAAGGAGGATTATGCAGCACTGGCCCACACCTGTAGAGAGCAGACCAGAAAAGCCAATTCAAACTGGCTCAGTTTCAGTTTGAAACTGAACTCAAACTGGCTACGGGAATCAAGGACAATAAAAAGTCCTCCTTCAAATACTTGGGAAGCTGGGAAAAAAAACAAGGGCAACATCAGACCCTTGCTGAACCAAATCGAGCAGCTGACAACCAGCACCCAGGAAAAAGCTAATCTCAACAATTACTTTGCATTGGTTTTCCACCAACCCAAGGGGATCACCCTGCCTGACAGGATGCAGGACTACCAGGGTAAGGGTGATCATACACATATAATTGATGATAATCTTGTGAGGAAACAGCTTGAGAGGCTGGACATCCACAAATCAGCTGGCCTGGATGAAATGCACCCAAGAGTGCTAAAAGAGTTGGGTGACATCATAGCACAACCAATGGCAAGTATATTTGAAAACTCAGGCACTCGGGAGAGGTTCCTGCAGATTGGAAGAGGGCCAACATGGTTCCTATCTTCAAGAAAGGGAGAAAAGATCCAGGGATCTACAGGTCAATTAATTTGACGTCAATCCCTGGAAAGATCTTGGAAAAAATTATGGAAAAACCCATCAACAACAGTCTAATGGAAGGCAGCATTCTGAGAGATAGTTAATATAGCTTCGTTGCAGGTAGGTCTTGCCTGACCAACCTCATTTCCTTCTATAACCAAGTGACGCATCACCTGGACAAAGGAGAAGAGGTTGATGTCATATATTTAGATTTCAAAAAAGCCTTTGACTTGGTTTCCTATAGATTCATAGATGTTAGGGTCGGAAGGGACCTCAATAGGTCATCGAGTCCGACCCCCTGCATAGGCAGGGAAGAGGGCTGGGG